CAGCAAGTCAGCTTTGTTGGGAAGTTGGACACTCTCTCAGAAGACACATCTGGGGGAAATCACACATGCACTCAACAGCTCTTTCACCCTTTGGACCTCTACTTAATTGTGTTACCAACGTATTTTGAAAGAAGATGGGGGAGATCATAAAAAGCTTTAGAATCTTTACATCTATTCTGAATCTAAATATGTTATTTTTTCTGTAACTTTACTTTCAAAATGTATTTGTAATATTTAAAATAAACAAAATATAAAGAATAATGCAGTGAACATCCATACCTCTCAGCTGAAGAAATGAAGTCCCACCATACTGATAGCTCTGTATAGCTATTCCAGTCACATCCTTCTCCCTCTCTTCCTTCTGTGACCCTCAATCTCAGGGTGATGAGGTGGAGCCCCACATTTGGCCTAGAGTTTACTTAAAAAGAAAAAAAAGGAGGGGCACCTGGGTGGCTCAGTTGGTTAAGTATCTGACTCTTGGTTTTGGCTCAGGTCATGAACTCATGGTCATGGGATTGAGCCCCGTGTCGGGCTCTGTGCTCAGCACAGAGTCTACCTCTCCCTCTCCCTCTGCTCCTCCCCCTGCTCACACGCTCTCTTTCTCTCTCTCTCTCTCAAATAAATAAAATCTTTTTTAAAAGGGAGAGAAAAGAAAAAAAAAGGAATAGAATCCAGCAATAAAAAGGAATGAATATCTATACACACAACGATTTGTTTATATCTCAAGATTATAATGAATGAAAAGAGCCAATCTCTAAAGGTTACATGCCGTATGATCCCACTTACATAATACTCTTGAAATGACAAAATTAAAGAGATAGAGATCCTTTAATGATTGCTTGGGGTTTGGGGGTGGTGAAGGATAGAAAGTGAGGTGATTGTGACTATAAAAGGGTAGGACAAGAGATTCTTGTGATGGAACTCATCTGTATCTTGACTGGTGATGGTCACATGAATCAACACCAGTGATAATATTGCATAGAACCAAATACACACATGATTGTATGTAAAACCAGTAAGATCTGAGTAAGATTGGTGGGTTGTGTCAATATTGACTTCCTGTTTATGATATTGTACTATGATTATGCATGAATTTATCATTGGGGGAAACTGGGTAAAGGATATATGTCATCTCTCTGTATTATTTCCTATAATTCTATGGGAACTCATAATTATCTTAAAATAAAAATTTAAAAACAATTATGCTGTGTGAACAAAGCCTAATCCAAAGGCTACATTTTGTACAATTCCATTTATTGAAGTCCTAGAAGAAGCAAAATTAATCCAAGATAGAAAAAAATAGCAAAACAATGGTTATTTTCTGGGCAAAGTTGTCTTGATAGAGATACTGGTGGCACTGGTATATGCTATTATAAAGAAGACAACAGGCCCCACCCATATGGAGTCACTTGTGCTAAGCCCCCCATCACCAAACTGAGTTTGGCTTTCCCAGAAATGGACTTGCCTGTTCAGCACTCCTTAGGTAATCTGCTGGATAGACTTTTGTCATCCCCTAAAAGAAAGTAACCTGACAATAACCAACCCATTTTTTTTTTTTTTTTTTTGCCTAGAATAACTTCCTTGTTCCCTCTCCCTCTGGCTATAAAAGTCTTTCATTTTGTATAGCAACTCAGAGCTCCTTTGTATCTGCCTGATTGGATGCTGCCCAATTCAAATAGATTTTTGCTCAAACACTTAAAATTTTCAATATGCCTCAGTTTCTCTTAACAATGTTTATATTGGAACTCAAGGAATGATACAGTTTAGATATTTATGTTTCTTTGTAGTTAATGATAGGCATGCCAAAGTATGCATACTACATGAAGTATACATATTCATATGACATAATGATATGCACACTGAAGTATTTTGGGGGAGGTGTACTAATGTCTGCAATTTTGTTTTTTAGATTTTATTATTTTAGAGAGAAAGAGAGCACAAGATGGGGGAAGGGCAGAAGGAGAGGGAGATGCAGACTCCCCACTAAGTAGGGGGAGTAGCCCTACCCAGGGCTCGAAGGGTCATGACATGAGTAGCCCTACCCAGGCCTCAGGATCATGACATGAGCCAAAGACGGACGCTTAACCAACCAAGCCACCCAGGTGCCCATTGTTTATGTTTTAATGTTTAAGTAGATTCCACACCTAGCATGGAGCCCAATGTAGGGCTTGAACTCACGATCCTGAGATCAACCTGAGCTGAGATCAATGGTCAGAGATTTAACCCACTGAGCCACCAGGAGCCCTTAATGTCTCCAACTCTGAAATGCACCAAAAAAGACAGGTAAAGACAGGTTGATAGCTATACTCACTAAATTTTTTTCAACTTTTTTTCTGAAAAATTTCTTTTTTTAAAAAAGTTTTATTAAGTAATCCCTACACCCCACGTGGGGCTTGAACTTATGACCCTGGGGTCAAGAGTCACATGCTCTTCTGACTGAACCAGCCAGGCACCCCTTGTCTGAAAAATTTCTTAATAAAATATTGAAAAAATTAACTAGTTGATTTTTTAATAGTTTTTTTTTAATAATCTCTATACCCCATGTGGGGCTCAAACTCACAACCCCAAGATCAAGAGTTGCATGCTCCACCGACTGAGCCAGGCAGGCGCCCCAACTAGTTGACGTTTTTAATGCAAAATTTCCAACATTAAGTCACAAAAGCAGTTTGGATACACTTAATGTATATAATTCAGGCTACATTATAATAAACATTAGTCTCCTTACCAAATATGATTATATATAATTTTTAAATGTTGACAGTTCTACTTTTTTATACATGAACAGTTTGCATCACTTGTTAAGAGAAATGTGAATTTTGTGTTTTAAGAATGTTAATGGTTTAGGGGCACCTGGGTGGCTCAGTTGGTTAAGTGTCTGCCTTCGGCTCAAGTCACGATCCTGGAGTCGGGGATCAAGCCCCATGTCGGGCTCCCTGCTCAGCGGGGAGTCTGCTTCTCCCTCTCCCTCTACACCCCCTAGTGTTCTCTCTCCCACTTTCTCTCTCTCACAAATAAATAAAATCTTTAAAAAAAATGTTAAGGGTTTAATACAAACTATCTAGATTTTAAAATCCCTTTCTCTTATACTATACTCAAGTATGTTCATAAGATTGTATTGTGGGAACTGAGACATCTGTAGCCCTCAATCACCATAATGACTCTACTGTTTGTTTCAGGAAATTCTTGCCCACGGGTAAGCTGTCAATTAGTACATAGCTTAATTGTTAGCTTTAAATTTTCCTGAAAATCCATTTATTTAAAGAATAGGTTGCTCATCTGGGTAAAAAGCTTCTCTCTCAGGTACTGAGAAGTTGAACTGATGACTCAAATGGCAAATCACCTTCCTTACCAAAAAACAAAACTAATCTGTTATCAAGTCCCTCATTTTGCTCAGCCCACCAGTCCTTAACTATTATACCAGGCACTATGTCCATTCCCAGGGAGGAATCCACAAAGGAATTGAAAAGGCCACCTTAAACCTCTACAGCCTAAACTCCAAAATCCTATAAAAATCACCCTTGACCTTCTCTCTGAGACACTAATAAGATTTTTGTCAAAATAGTAATCTCCCTTAATGCAGTAAGTGAGAAATTTGGTTTTACTCAAACAGGTTATTTTGGTGGTCTTTTTTCCAGGAGTTAGCAGTAGACAATCACAGTGAAGAGACTTCACCATCGACAAAGTTTGGGAAACGTGTATGACCCCAAGCAAATCTGGAATACTTGCAAGCCTCCACTTTGTCTTGACAGGAATTCACTGGTGCCATCAACAGATGAAATTAGGAATATAGAAAGCCAGGGAATTAAAAAAACGAAAAAACCTAAAGGAGGAAATGATACCAAAATGAAGATGGTAAGAGCTGTAGAACTTTCTTTCCTGTCTTCATGCAGACAACCAATGAGAATCTCTGAATGAGTCAATATATTTAATTATTTAATTGGTATGCCATGTTATAATTTATATTACTTCATCTGGATTGATTTTGAGATTGTGCCCTCCTATTTTGCACTTTCACTTTCTGGACAAAGTTCTTAGCCTGTATAAAAAGCAGAGTCCCCTGTGGGCCTAGCTCCAACCTACCTACACACCTCCATTCAAACTTTAAATTGCAATCTTTTAAACTACTAAATATTTAATATTTAAACTATTTAAACCATTGCATATTTAAGCTGGTAGTTCCTCTGCATTCAGTTTCCTAAATTTGAAATCCCACTCTTCCTTTGGTGCTCACTGCCCCCCTCAATTCCTGACATTTACAACACAATTTGAAGGCTTTCCCCCAAGCCCTCAGGGTAGGGTTCGCCAGCACCCTGTGTGTATCCCTATCACAGCACTCAGGTGCTGGTTTACGGGGCTAGTACACTGAGTTTCTTGAAGACAGATTTAGTAACTTACAGTATTTGAATCTCCCGTCGTTCTACAGTACCAGGCAAACTCGAGGTCTAAATAAATGTGTTGGAATCCATGGAAGGGTGAGGTGGGAGGATTGATGCATGGGTCAGAAAACGAAATTTCAAAGCATTAAACTGTAAATTGTGGGGACCACCATAGCTTAACTGCATTGCAGGTGGGCAGAAGCACCATAGAGGTGAGTCATGGGATGGCAATGAGGTCATAGAACTGTGAGGCCAAGGTAAGTCATTAACAATTAACAGATGCTGGCAAAACTGAGGCGCAGAGCAAGGAGTAGCAGGACTCCAGGGTCTCCAGGACCTGGAATTTGGTCCAGGCCCCACTTTTCAAGCATCAACCCACCCGCAGTAACAAGAGGCTGCAGAAGGGGCCAAGAACCGTTAGGGAGATAAGGAAGGTGTTTCAGAATAGTGCTTAGTAGCTCCGACCCAAAAGCCCACAATCACCCGCTACGGACACAGGGCTGATCACGAGGCACGAGGCTGCCTCCTGACAGCGTCAACTGCCCCTCCACTTTCTCGTCCAGCACATTTTACTCTCGAGAGTTCTTTTTCACAGCTCCCAGAGTCCAACGGCCGAAGAGACGAAGAGACGAGCGCTGCAGGCCTTGCCTCCGGAGGAGCTGCCGCTAGCGCCTAAGCTTTGCTTTCACAGGATTTGGCTAGGCGGGCTGCCAGACAGGCCATCTCTCCTGGACATCATGTGACGTGGGGAGGTGACCTGCATTTCTTCTGATATAAGGCTACAGATTATGAGTTCAAAAACAGGGGCTCTATCAGTCGAAACAACGACCCGGCTTCTGGGCCTAGCTGTCCCCGAAAATCCCACCCTTAGAGAGGGCTCCACACCGCGCCGCAAAGGCAGGCGCAACCGGAAGGGGCGGGGATCCACCCGGACGTGGAGCTTCCGCCACCATGGCTTCCCGTGGGATCATTGGCCTTTTCCTCCTCTCTGCTCTCCCCCTCTTGTGTCTGGAGCTCCGGCGTGGGATCCCCGATCTGGGTAAGTGTTGGCTTTTTCCTTCTGGCACTCACATCCGCGTAACTTTCCCATGAATGTTGCATCGAATTCCTGTCTTGCGGCCGCCTCCCCTCTGGGCGGCTTGGACTACAATTCCCAGTCTGTATCGCGCCCGCCTTTCTCTTCCGGCGCCGGGTCCCCTGGGAGCGAGACTCCCGCTGCTTTGGGGAGGCCGACCGCTTTTGGCGGAGAAGGTGTCCCTCCGGTTTTGCGTGCAAGGCGAGAGGCTGGCGGGGAGCACAGGGATAAACATAGACACTACTCCCAGATTGTTTTGAACGCCCAGAAGGAAATAGGGTGGTGTGATGTAGGCCTTGCGAGGAATTTAAGGAAATGAAACGGAGCCAGAGTCAAAAACATTTCCAGACAAAAGGAATTGTGACATGTTGGAGGAAAAGGATGAAGACCACTGTTGATGGATCAGGGAGACTTACGGGCAGAGTGGCTCGAGATAACGTTCACGGAGCACCAGTTATAAGCCTAACTCTAAGTTGCTGTTATCTCATCCACTCTGTATTGTAACTTTGAGGGTGGGTACTATTATAATCCCCATCTTACGCTTGAGGAAACTGACACTTACGGAGGTTAAGCGGGTCCCTGAGGTTTTAGGAGTCACTGGAGGAGCGCCAGGCTAGCTCAGTCAGTGGAGCATGCAACTCTTGATCTCAGGTCGGAGGGATTACTAGATAGATAGATAGTCAGTCGCTGGATTCTGTGGAGAATGTTTTGGAAGGAGGCTATAGTGGAAGCAGTGAAGCAAGTGAGGCTCTTGAAGTAGGCAAGTAGTGATGATGGCCTGGACTAGGATGATAACATGAAATGTGCACAGATTTGGAATATTTACAAAGTAGAATCAACAGGATTTGTGGATGGATTAATGGAAAGGAGGGATTCAAGAATCACTCCTACATGTGAAGTTGAACAACCCTAAGTAGTTGATAGTGCCAGTGATGAAGGGAAAACTGAGAGGAAAATGGTGGACTTGCGGAGAATCAGTCCATTTTGGGATATGTTAGTCATGGGTTTACATGCATGTCTCCCTCATGTTCACTTTTAAAGTTAGAGACCATGATGAAACCTAGCTTTGTATATTTCCTCTCTCTCTCCCCACCCCCAAGAAGTCAGGTACCTAGAAATGTTGCTGGAAATAAGAAGTTAAAATAAAATGCTTTCTTAAAAAAATCTGCAAAGTCCCTCTAGAAACCTCCTACTCACTCAGGCTGTATTGGAATCTAACAAGACCTTTATCCAGATGACATAAGGAAATGTTAAATTCACACTTACCTATTCCAGAATTTACGTGTTCCCTTGCCTTTACAGTATCCATTGTAATTTAGATTCTCTTCTACTTTGCACTAATGTTTGAGTCACTAGTCAATGAGAGTGGTTGCAGAGGGTTGGAGGGAATTCTGCTCACATAATAAGCTCTATCAGGAAAATACAGTTCTTGAAGGCAGAGCCTACATCTATTATATTTTTGTGTTCCCATCACTTATCACAATGTCTAATTTATTTAATCATTTATTTTAATCGTTTTTTTAAGTAGGCTCCACGCCTGGTGTGGGGCTTGAACTCATGACCCTGAGATCAAGAGTCAAATGCTCTACTGACTAAGCCAGCCAGGCACACCCAGAGTGCCTCATTTAATAAAGCAGGCCAAAAATTCTATAAAATGCAGCTGGGCTTCTGGTAGCATCTCCGTCTAGTTGTTGAGTTTTTTCACTTAGTTAACTCCTTTCTCCTAGAAACCTCTGTCACTTGTGAACTGATGGTTGTTTACTTTGGTTTCTTTTTCTTTTTCTTTAAGTAATCTCTACACCCAGTGTCGTGCTCAAGCTACCAGAGTCTCATGCTCTACCGACTGAGCCAGCCAGGCGCCCCTACTTTGCTTTCTTGATATTCATTCTCCAAATATCCAGTAAGAGTAGTTAAGTCTATTTTACAAATCATATGTCCCAGTGCAATGGCTGCAGGGCTAGTTACATGTGGAACAGTACTTACAGATACTAACACTCTTAGCCAGAGCTGCTAATTGAATTCCTAGTTGGAAAATTAGAAATCCCAGACCTTTTCATTCCCCTGGGTTGTATTTTTGGACAAACACTGAAAAATGATTCCTATCTTTTTCTACTGTGTAAAAGCCTTCATTGCCATTTTTACTTCTACTTACAGCTAAATATATTAATGCAGCTTCCTCACATTTATTATTCTTTGAAATGCCTCGCACATGGGTTCTTAAGTATCAAATTAATTTAATAAAAAAAATTTTTACTTGAAAGATGTATACACAAATCTAGTTCTTTTATATTCCCATATGACATTTGCAAATTGCTTGCTTGTTAGAACAAAAAGCAGTATAATGGAACATAAACCCCATAACTCACTGGTTTCTCTAAATACCAATACCGTAGGTATTAAATTACTTTTGTAATACTCTAGATTTAGTTAGGTGTTGTTTTGAACAACACTTGAATCAACAAGTATTTCTTTAAACAACTTTAAATTGCTGTTTTTTAAAAGGATAACATATATATCGGTTTTCAGTTAAAAATGAAATATTTATGGGGCATTTGGCTGGCTCAGTCAGAAGAACGTGTCGCTCTTGATCTTGGGGTTGTGAGTTTGAGGCCCACACTGAGTATAGAGATTATTTAAATAAAATTTTTAAAAAAATAAAATAAAATAAATGCAATATCACAAGTATAGTCAATTATACTTCAAGAAAGTTTAAGTGTATATATATATATATATATATATATATTTCTTCTTTAATCTTTAATTGACTAATTACCAGCCCTGAATGTGATGATTCCTCTATACCTCTGCCTGGTAACTTTTGAGAACTACAAAACTAAAAACTCTATGGGGTAGAAAGTATTTTTAACCCAACTTTGTATTTGCTCCCTCACCATTTAGCAAATTGTATTACACAAAGTATAGGTACTTGTTATATTTTTGCTCATTTAATTTTCATCTTTATTCCTAAAATAAGACGAAATACTGAGTTTTTACTTTTTTCTAGGTTGAACATGTATGTATATAGTAATTTTATTTGCAAATGACGGAATAAATATTCAGAAATAGAGAAGTACACAGTTCCTTAATTTAACTATGAGAGATATGAATTTCATGTGTCAGAATGACTGTTTTTAAATAGAATGAGAATTTGACAAGATGAGACTGTCACAATTTAATTCCCAGTGGGATAGTTTTATTTCCTTCTCTGGGTAGAGGGAAACCAGAATTTATTCATTTTTGATAGTCATAATGTTTATAATATAGCCAGTCACTTAAATTATACCTATATTTCTGAGACAGAAGCTATTCTAAAATTGTTTTCTGAAAACTTGTTCTGGTAATGACAACCATGATGGTTTTAACTCACAGAGGAGATTGTATGAAAAAAATCATAAGACAGTTGCATAAATTAACTTTTACTATACCACTAAATAATCTTAATGCCTTACTATTTATTATTAGTATCAAGAAAAGTGTTTTGAATTTTAAATGTAATTTTTTTTTTTTTTTTAACCTTTATAAGGAGTTAAAGATCTAATTCTGCTGTGTGGTCGGATTTTCTTACTGCTTGCTCTTCTTACTTTAATTATTTCTGTGACTACCTCATGGCTTAATTCATTTAAATCGTCCCAAGTGTATCTGAAAGGTAAGTTTATTATTTATCCTACCCTTTTATAATTTCTACTCAAATTCCTTTCCTTTATTGATTCTAGAACTTTTCATAATAAGAACCATTTCCTGTTATTGGTGATGTACAATTTCAAGGTAGTCATTACAACTTTTAACTTGATTTTTAATGGACTATAAATCCCCCAGTTTTTTTTAAAGATTGATTTATTTATTTTTAGCGAGAGAGAGAGCACTGCCCGTGCGCACATGCGCGCACATGAGTGGGAGGGGCAGAGGGAAAAAGAGAATCTCAAGCAGACTCCTCCCTGAGTGTGGAGCTCTACGCTGGGCTGGATCCCACCACCCTGAGATCACTACCTGAACTGAAACCAAGAGTCTGACACTCAACCCACCACACCACCCAGGCGCCCCTAAACCCAACATTTTTATGTGATATTGTACATTATCCTTATATATGCATTTGAAATGATACCATTTCTATGTTGATACATTGCAAATTATCTAATTTTAAAATGTGCAGTTTATTAATTTTTATTTAATTTTTATTTATTTTTTTAAAGATGTTATTTATTTGTGAGAGAGAGAGAGAGCACAAGCAAGGGGAGCGGCAGGCAGAGGGAGAAGCAGGCTCCCCACTGAGCAAGGAGCCCGATGCCGGACTCGATCCCAGGACCCTGAGCCGAAGACAGATGCTCAACCAACTGAGCCACCAAGGCGTCCCACAGTTTATTTGTTTAAAGTTTTTATTTATGTATTTGAGAGAGAGAGAGAGAGCACAAGTCGTTGGGGAGGGGCAGAAGGAGAGGGAGAACCAGACAGGGAGTCCAGACTCGAGGCTTAATTCCAGGACCCTGGCTTGGGTCATGACCTGAACCAAAGGCAGATGTTTAACTGACTGCGCCAGCCAGGCGCCCCTAAATCGTGCAGATTAATTGTTTTTTGGTGTTTTCAGTTTATAAACTATTCAACAAATGGTCATTATCTCTACCATTACTTTGTAAAGGCTTTTCAACCTAATTTATCTTTCATTTTATTTTGGCAGTTTTTCTTTACACACTGCTTTACTCTTAACTTTAGGAAACCATGCTTGTTCTTACTTTTGATAAGTAAAAAGTTTTACTTTTAATTGTTAAGAACCCTTAACAATGTAAAAAGTGTTGGGGCGCCTGGGTGGCTCAGTTGTTAAGCGTCTGCCTTCGGCTCAGGTCATGATTCCCAGAGTCCTGGGATCAAGCCCCCCATCGGCCTCCCTGCTCCATGGGAAGCCTGTTTCTCCTTCTCCCACTCCCCCTGCTTGTGTTCCCTCTCTCGCTGTGTCTCTCTCTGTCAAATAAATAAATAAATCTTAAAAAACAAACAAACAAACAAAAAAAACAATGTAAAAAGTGTTAGAAGCCGGGCACCCGGGTGGCTCAGTCAGTTAAGCATCTGCCTTCGGCTCAGGTCATGATCTTGGGGTCCTGGGATCGAGTCCCACGCCAGCGGGCTCCCTGCTTAGTGGGGGGCCTGCTTCTCCCTCTCCCCCCTGCTTGTGCTCTCTCTCTTGCTATCTCTCTCTCTCTCAAATAAGTAAATAAAATCTTGAAAAAAAGAAATAAGTAATTAAGACTATATAAAGTGCTTGTCAGATTTTCTTCAAATGAGTAAAAAATCAGCTTGTTTATACACTTTGTCTACCCTAGTGTCATCAAATATTGAGATTCAAGACTTCAGATTCATCTAAAATTTGAATCCTCCATGTTTTTAAAGATTTGCATGATCAAATGTATCAAAAGCTCAGAAGTAGTCAGTTCTCAGTGACTTTAGGGATTAAAATCCCCTGGGGCTCCTGGCCAGCTCAGTCAGTAGAGCACGTGAATCTTGATCTTAGGGTCATGAGTTCAAGCCCCATGTTGGGTGTGGAGCCTACTTAAAAAAAAAGGATTAAAGCCCCTTAATCACCTGTTATTGATTTATTTAGAAGCTATACTCTTTGATTCAGAGTCAGGAGGGAGTCTTAAGATCACCAAGTCTGACTCATCACATAGCAAATTAGTGGCCATACTGGGCCTTCTGATTTCCTATGTGTTTTGCTGCTGCCCTAATCTTTCCTTAATATAATTTGAGGAAATATTTATTGCCAGGAGAGAAAGTAGTTGACAGAAAGGAATGTTCCTATTTAAGGAGCCAGGCAGGTTAAGGGATATATTTTCCAAAAAGATGGATAATTCCTCAAGGGAATATGGTTAAATGAAATTAATTTAAATGAAACTTAGTGGGAGCGCCTGGGTGGCTCAGTCGGTTAAGCGGTTAAGCGTTGACTCTTTTATTTTTTTTTAAAGATTTTATTTATTTGAGAGAGAGAGAAAGCACATGGGGGGGGAGCGTCAGAGGGAGAAGCAGACTCCCTGCCGAGCAGGGAGCCCGATGCAGGACTCGATCCAGGGACTCCAGGATCATGACCTGAGCCGAAGGCAGTCGCTTAACCAACTGAGCCACCCAGGCGCCCAAGCGTTGATTCTTGATATCAGCTCCGGTCTTGATCTCAGGGTTGTGAATTCAAGCCTGTGTTGAGCTCCACACTGGGTGTGGAGCCTACTTAAAATAACGAATGAAAAAGATCATACAACAGCAAAAATCCTTTCTCTTTCCATTCAGTGGCTAATAACCTAATACTGGTTCAATCATGGGAGTTGCCAAACATACCCCAGGTTTGGGGTCTAGGCGTGGTTGCATTTATTTTTTTTTTAATGATTTTATGGGGGCACCTGGGTGGCTCAGTCAGTTAAGCATCTGCCTTTGGCTCAGGTCATGATCCCAGGGTCCTGGGATCGAGCCCCATGTTGGGCTCCCTGCTCAGCGGGAGGCCTGCTTCTCCCTCTCTGCATACTTGTGCTCTCTCTGTCAAATAAATAAATAAAATCTTAAAAAAAATAAAATAAATGATTTTATGATTTTATGTTTTTAAGCAATCTCTACATCCAACATGGGGCTCGAACTCACAATCCGGAGATCAAGAGTCACATGCTCCACTGACTGAGACAGCCAGGTGCACCCAGGCATGTTGCTTTTATTTATGGTCATGTCCAAGGGTGACCAAATGGTACTCATGTCTGCAGTGCAGCGTTCCGCACTCAAGTGCAATAATGAGCTTCCATGCCATGTCTTGGAGCTGCTGAAGCCCTATCAGGGCCTACACTTAAAGCACTTAAAATCTAACGTTTTCAAAATTTAATTTAATTTTATTTTTTTAACCTTTTTTTTTT